CTTCAAATCTTGAATGTGATATTTTGGTGAGTTTACACCAATAGATCATCTACGTACACTTCAACATTTCGCCTTTTTTTGTGCACCTTGGAGATGTGATCCATCATTCTTTTGATAAGTCGACACAACGTTCTTTAGCTCTAAATTGTATCATCTTGTAGCAATATAGACCTTCACCTATGATAAAGGATGTTTTCTCGCAATCATCAGGGTGCTTTTTTATCCGATGGTATATAGAAGATGCATCTGAGAAGCTCAACACCGAGAATCCAATTGCTGAGTCAACTAGTAAGCCAATTCTGGGGAGTGGGTAATCATCTTTTGGGCACTTCAAGAGTTCAAGTTAAGATTAGTGAATTCGAGGCACATCATCCCACTTGTCAGTCACCTCGTAAACCCTTACAATATTGAAAATCTAGGCAGGATACTATATCTTCTTAATGAAGCCGACGTAGAGCAGCTTTTTTACTTCCTATTTACTTGGCTTGATGAGCACAATGGATGACTTTCTTGATTTTTTTTTATTTTATAGGTCTAGCATGTCTTTTCACAATAAGTTTGTTGTGGAAGATTTCTTCATCAATGCCTGGTATAGCCATTTCTGTCCATGCAAAGACGTTGAGGTCATCTCTAAAACTAATTAGCTTCGATGAGCTCGCCCCGATTCTTTGAGTTGAATGAGATGCTTATTCTCAGCTTCCTCTCTGGCTCACCCGCACTAGTTGGGACCTCCTCCATTGCTGTTATAGTCTCTAACCCTGGTTCTTGTTTGACAGCTATAGCTCCTCTGGGGAGGTTGACACCCCTATCGCCTTTAGGTAACATGTGTTGGATTGTATGAGGTCAACTCTCACTATGTTTACTCGGCTGCCCGTTAAGAATTTGATCAACACGTGATAGGTTGAGACAACTACCTAGAATTTATTCAGGAGAGGTCTCTCAAAGATGACGTTATACATGGCTAGGGCATCTATAATTATGAAGTCCGTCATTACAATGTATATCTAGTTACTTCACCCCAGGTAATTGGGCTGGCGAATTCCATCGATGGCTCATCAACTGAGCTGACGACGAGTCACTTTAAGAGGGTGCCTCCCGCTGAACGGGCGAGTTTACAAAATTTGGGGAATCGTGTGTGAACCCCTACAATTCCCCCCTAGAGGCGACCTTCCAAGGGTTGTTTTATCAAGTTGGGTCGAATCTGGGAATCGTGTTATATTGGGAAAGTATGATGGTATAGCTTATTTCAGGAGCATCTATATGAAGACAAACATGCTTGCACGTAATAGTTGTTTCTTGTGTATGTCACTTCTTGTTTCTCTGTTACTGTTAACTGATCCATTCATGCTCATTGGGTTTGATCTCTCGGTATGGTATGATTAAATTATCAAGTAGTTAAGCTTATTAAATTATGGCTAACAATTTAGTATGCTTGATGATGAATTAATTATAATTTTAATTAAGAGCATTAAGATTGAAAATTTTATTTTGATTTTATTTTACCAATTAAGTATATGTTAATTACTTAGTGTTGATAATCCTCAGAAGTTTGTACTCGTATGCTAATAATAAATTAGTGATTGTGATGACAACTTAAATTAATTAGGGGACTAAATAAGACTTAATTTACTTGTTGAGTCCTGGAATATTCACGCATAGAGAGAAATTTATAGTTTAACGCCTTAGTTTTGTACAAAGATCAAGCACACAATCAGATAAGAGAAATTGTGCAGTATTTAAAGAAACACCAAGATTTTTACATGAAAAATCCTGAATAGGGGAAAAACCACAGTGCCTGACCCAGTTTGAATGAATCCACTAATATTTGCAGTTGATTATAAATGAGGCCCTTCCTTGGGGGAAAGGCCTTAGCTTGACGTAAAAAATATACATCATATGGAGTGCATTACATGATGGGAAAAAGGAAAAATCACTATTGATGTGTTTGTTTGATCGGAAGGACCATAGTCGGTGGACGACGGAGGTCGGAAAGACCGTAGTCGGGTACAGTGGTCTAAAGGACCGTAGTCGGCGGCCTATGGAGGTCGGAAAGGCCGTTGTATGGTGATGAATTTCGGAAAGACTGTAGTCGGTGATGGAGGTCGGAAAGACTGTAGTTGAGGACGAAGGTCGGAAGAACCATAATCGGCAGGAGACGGAGGTCGGAAGAACTGTAATGGGCGGGCAATGCAGGTCGAAAAGATCATTGTATGGCGACGAAGGTCGTAACGATCGTAATCGGCGGGAGACGGAGGTCGGAAGCACCTTAGTTAGGGACCGTAGTCGGCGAGCGATGGAGGTCGAAAAGACTGTAGTCGGTGGGCGACGGAGGTCATAAAATATGTTGTCTGGCGACGGAGGTCGAAAGGACCATAGTCAGCATGCGACGGAGGTCGGAAGGACCATTGTCGAGTGGAAGTCCGACGTTAGTCGGCAGGTGACAGAGCTCATAAAGATCATTGTCTGACGACGGAGGTTAGAAGGCACGTAGTTGGTGGACGATAGTGGAAAGAAAGATCATTATCTAACGACGGAGGTTGGAATGACCATAGTCGGTAGGCGATAATAGTTAGAAAGACTGTTATTTGGTGAAGGAGATCGAATGGACCGTAGTCGGCTGGCAACAGAGGTCGGAAGTCTGGTGATGGACGGAAGTCCGACCTCAGACAGAAGTTCAACAATGGACGGAAGTCCGGTGCTAGATAGAAGTCCGGTGGAAGTACATTGACAAGCAGAAGTCTGACATCGGGTAGAAATCCGACGACGGGCGGAAGTTCGGTGTCTGGTAGAAGTTCGATGAAAGTCCGACGATAGGTAGAAGTCCGACGACGTGTGAAAGTCCGATGTTGAGTAGAAATATGGCGACGGGCGCAAGTCCGAGTCGTGTAGAAATCTGACGATGAGCGGAAGTCCGACGTTGGGTAGAAATCAGACGATGGTCGAATATTCGACGTCGGGTAGAAGTCTAGCGATGGGCGAAGGTCCTTCGTCGGATAGAAGTCCGACGAAAGTTCGGTGACATGCATAAGTTTGGTTACGGGCGAAAGTTCGATGTCGGGTAGAAATACGGCGACGGACAGAAGTCTGAGGAAAGTTCGGCGACAGGTAGAAGTCCGGAGTCGGGTAGAAATCCCGCGACAGGAAGAAGTCCGACGATGGGCATAAGTTCAACGATGGATGGAAGTCTTGCGTCAGATAGAAATCTTGCGTCAGATAGAAGTCCGGCGATGGGCAAAAGTCCGGCGTTTGGTCGAAATCCAGTGACGGGCGGAGGTCCAGCGTCAGTCCGTGGCCAGGTAGAAATCTGATGTCAGTTTGGGGCCAGGTGAAATCCGACTTTAGTTGGTAGCCTGGCGAAAATCCTACCTTCCGTCGTGTAGAAATCCTGCGACAGTCGATGGGCGACGGAGGCCGGAAGGACCGTTGTTGGCAGGCGACGGAGGTTAGAATGACCGTTGTTGGGTGGAAGTCTAAGAATCATTGGAAATCAAGTGGAAGTTCGGCGAAAATCAGCAGTCGAGTGTAAGTCTGACTAAAGTTGGTGGTCCGGCAGAACTCTGATGTCAGTCGTTGGTCTGATAGAAGTCCGATGTCAGTTGGTGGTCGGATAGATATCCAATGTTAGTCGATGGTTCGACAGAAGTTTGGGCGTCAGTTGGTGGCCGGGCAGAAATCCTGCGTCAGTCGGTGGCCGGGAAGAAATCTAGCGTTAGTCGGTGGTTTGGCAGAAGTTCGGGCGTGAGTTGGTGGCCGGGCAAAAATTCGACGTCAGGTGGTGGTCTGGCGTAAGTCCGGGTGGTGGTCGAGGAGGAGCTAGGTGGCAAGAGCAATCTCTGATCTCTCTTATTGCTTCCTTGTTGGGGCCCCTTTCCATGAGGAATGAGGGGTCTTTTTATAAATTTCTGAGAGTTGAATGCCCAGTAATATGAGGAAGATCAAGGGTAAATTGGGAGTGGTTTGAATGGATGTTGATGTTGATTCCTTTGATCGTGGACCGTTTACTGGATATTTGAATGTCTTCATGATATCAAATTTTAGCGATCTTGGGCTCGTTGGATTCGTCTCGTCGAGCCGCTCAATTTGAATATAAGCATGTTATGTTTGGAAATCATTTGGTAATCTAAATTATGGTTTGAACCTTCCAAATGTGCTTCAAGACTTTGATTTTGATGCATTTGGGCTCGGATTGAATCGAATCGAATTTGATGTCGTTGTGTTCGTATTTCCGGGACGGCTGAAATCGGAGTTCGGATGATCCCAATTTTAATTTCGAAAGTTTCCAACTTGATTTTGCCTCAAGATTTGTGCCCGATCAAGATAATTTTTTGATGATATATCAATACTAATTACAAATTTCTGTTTCTAAAAAAAAAAATAAGTGCATCATCCAAATAAATTTTATTTTAAAAGAAAACAAAAACAAAATGAAAATAAACACGGCCTAAGGAATTCATTTTACTGTAGAAATCTCTCAGTTTTCCTTAGCTTTAAATAAATAAATGTTGATTATGACGCTGCAAATAAACAAAGCAAGCAATCATGTGATCATTACTTTCCCTGCTTCGTTGCCATCTTACGCTCGATTAAATTTTTTGTTTTTTGGAACGGGTGTATCTATCCACTGTCACCCCATAAGAGGCGCTTGGTGGCGTAGCTAATCCCTTGGTGAGCCTACTAGCAACAAGGCTCACAGGTGCAGGACCTGCAGTTATTTTCTCTCCACTCAAGCGGTCGCGTCACATCAGAGGGGAATCAAACATGGGTTGGGGGATCCCAACAATGCTCACCCACCAACCTAGCTTAAGCCCGGTGGGATATGCCCGATTAAATGATTTATTTTCAAGAAGGTCAATTAATGATCTTTTTTGCAAGTTTATTAAAAAGATTAGACGATGTTTTTTTTTTTCTCGTATAATTCATTTGTTACTATATTTATTTGGTACTACATTCTTCATGATTTTTAATAAAGAGAATTTGCTGCTTTCTTTGGATATATGTAGTTGCAGAAAGGGATTGGTGTCATGTGTCTTGGACATCCTCATGGCATAGAGATCCCTCCCCCAAGACATAAAAGGAAAGCATCCCATCCATCTGACGAGGAAAAGGTGAACAACTGTTCAATAAGTTTGGCTTGGCCGAGCACCGATAAAGTCGCAATGGATGCTAAGGTAAGGTATAAATGTCAGGCCGTATCTTTTTTGGATATTGTTTTCATATGCACATTCTGTTTTCAGATTTTAATGGAATGTTGGCAAGTTTTATAGAAACCAATGGAGCACGCAACTGTTGAAAGCATGAATCAGGCATTTGGAAAATGCAACTCATCTGCTTCTGTTTATTGTGGAAACAACAATGCTTACTCTTTCTCAGAGCCTTTACCAATGACCGATGAGTCAGTAAAGATGACTGGAAAATTTTTGCATTTGTTTGAAATGAATGGGAACTTCACAAATCCTCAGATGAATTTCACTCCAGCAGAAGAAAGGTATGAAATACTAAAGAAGATGGATGAACCATTCACATCACCAAAACACACTTTACAAGGTGAGGAAAGGTACCAAAACATAGTTTCACCTCAAATTAATGGTGCAAAATGTTCTGGTGAAGGAATATCTGCATCATTTATTGAACACCGAGATGAAGATGTAGATCTTAACCTGTTCCTTAATCCTACAAGATCAGTAAAATGCATGTCAAAAGATCCAGCAATTTCTTCCACCCATCAGGCAGTTCCATCAACTTCATTTTATGATGAAAATGCTTCTACTGCATTGAGCTGCTTAACCACCAACTCATTTCCCAAGTCTCATGCAGAAGCAAGCATTGCTGCTTCATTACTGGCGCATCCTGTTGTGGATTCCTCCATGATTTCAGATACAAATATCGATGTTGGAGGAGCTCAAGAGAAACATGGCAATATAACTCCAAGCATATCAGCTATTATTGCAGCCACAGTTGAAGCAGCTGCTGCTTGGTGGAGATTTAATGGGCTATTGCCGTCTCCTTTTCAGTCGAGCATTTCTTCAGCAACACAAACAATGATGCAGAATCTTACAAAGGCATCCAAAGATCTTGAGGGTTATAGTGACACCAAAGGAAACACAAAATTGCAATCTTGTACCACATTATTAGAACCATCATTATCTCCAAAAACAGTTCAAGAACTGAGAGTTGAAAGGACTGAAAAACTTCCCAACCAATATGTGCTCTCGTCAATAGTTAAAGGAATTAATGAAGTTAATCAGGTTCCAAGAAAAAAAAAGGATGATCTTTCGTCATGTGATTCGAACACATCTCCATTTACTGAAGCAGTTAACATCAGACAGCTTAGGAATGCTGGAAGATTAAACAAGCCATACAATGCGCGTCCTAAACAGGTTGTCAGCTATCAATCAAACTAACAATTTGATACAGGATCCGGTTATTAATACTCATCTGTTGAACAATTTAATTAATTATCTCAATTTTTGTTAGGGTCCACTTGCCTTTGAAGCTCTATTCTCTCAAAAGGTGCTGCCCCAGAGCTTTGGAGCTCCGCACATGGATTATGATAAATCGGACTTGAATCTGAAGAAAGAAGCAGCTCTTGGATTGCAGATTGACCTTAACAGAAAAATATTCACTGAAAATGATTGTAACTCTGCCGAGGAGGAAGAAGCTTCAAGCTTAATCTTGAGACCAGAGGAACGAATGGAGTAAACATTGATCTACCAGCAGAGTTTGTCTTGAACAAGTTATAGCCATCCAGTGAAGAGGTTGCTACAGCAAAATATTCTCCTTTTTACAGGATCAGAAGTTGCCTGATGGAACAGCATACTCATGACATATTCCACGAATTTAGTCTCAAAACTTAATAAATCATGGAATTCTCCATGCTTAAAAACTACATATATTTATTCCTTCGCTGTAATTTGAAAGTTGTTGATTTCGCTTTAGAAAGAAAAATAAACATACTACAAAAACTGTTTGAAGCCTGAAGGGCTATATCGGCTGCATGCTTTTATAATTTCCAAATTTACAGTATCATTGCAAGTAGATTACAGATGTTAAAAACCAAAAAGAATTTACTGACAAAAAAATTGAAGAATACACGACGCGTCATCAAAACAACAAAGAAACCGGCATCAGAATGGAGGATGTCGGACTCAGAAGAAACCGAATAGGACAGAAAACCCGAGAATGATGAGCCAAACAATGTGGATGAGAAAGAAGGCTTGGCCGGATACGAGGCCGTTTCCGCCATTGCCGACCTCGCAAGGACCGTTCTTGGCCACTCGCACCCCTGCACAAGCCGCATCCGGGCAGCCGCACCAGTACGTCACGCCGTTCTCGCCGCAGACGGGGTCGGATCGGAAGCATTTCACGGGGCAGAACTTGTCGCCGTCGTGTGGGACCACGCATGGGCTGTCGTTTCCATGTCCGGTTGAATCTAGCATCTCTGATCCAGCGGAGGAGAGATAAAGGAATACAGTGAGGAGGAAGAGGAAGAAGAGAGGAGAGAGAGATGCGGCCGGCGACATGGAACAGAAGGATCGTAGCGGCTTTGACTCTGCGGAGAGGTGATCGGAAGACTGACCAACTATTTAAGGACCGCCTTATTTTTGTTTAGAGAAAAGATAATTTAATTTAATTTAAGTTGAAAATCGTTCCAATGACGCGGTGGTTTTTTTGACCTTTTCAATCTCTAAAACCAGAACTTTTATTCGGTCCGGTGAAGGTACCCTCCTCTATGTTCGGCCACCAATGTTTTAGTGCCACGTAGCATGAAGAAAAGTCGTCGACCCGATCTGTTGTTTTTTGGGTTCTTGCACGTGCGTTTTTTTAAATCCTTGACGAGCCGAACAACATCTCATCACCTTTTGGATATATTTCAAATACCTAGCAATACCAAGCAAATACCGAGTTGCACATAGTTTTTTCTAGCAATACCGAGCAAATACCAAGTTGTACCGACTTGTAGAAAAACTCGGTATTTGCATGGTTTTGGTCTTCACAGAGCGGTATTTCTCGTTTTTGCAAAGCAATACCGAGCAAATACCAAGCAAAACCGAGAAAATCGCGAACATAGCATTCCCGGGTTTCGGTACGGGTCAAGTCGTCGGGCCGCGCTGTAAAGAGTAAGAGCACGTGGCGACATGTTATTGGCGATCGAACGTAGCTCTATTTCCGGTCAGATGACGTAATAATTGTTCCTAAAACCAGTTGTCGTACTTGGTATCTTTATGCTGTTTAATTTTAATATAGGCATAATTATAGGAAGGGAAATTTGAGTTTACTAGGAAAATTGTTATCAAAATAAAAAAATAAATCTTATAAAAATGTTTTTTTATTTATTTACATGAATTAAAAAACTATCAATATAATTATAATAACATATTACAGTTTGTGGACAAATGGCACAATATACATAATATTATAATTATTCAATGGATTGATTTTCATAGAAATGTTATTTGAGGTTTAAATTAAATTTTGATGCTTTAGCATAATAGTTTTGGAGAAATGAGAATTTAAAAAAATAATTTGAATCGGCTAAAGGAGAATTTATAAATAAACATGACAAAAAATATTTCTATAAAATATATATATTAATAAACTGTGAATCAAATTGAAATTTTCTCTAGCCTGTTGAGGTTGAAGTTTCATAAATTAATGAATAATTATAATGTATTTTTTAACCTCAATAAAATCTTTATATTTGATACTTTATCCCAGAGCAGTATATATTATTAAAAATTAGATGTCTTGATGATTATCTTTATTTATTATATTTTGATTGGAAGTTAAATAAATTTTTATATATAGAAAAGACTAAATACTCAGTAAATAGTCAACAAATGAGCAAATACTCAGCCCATACATATTGAATACTTACAAAATATATGAGTATACTCAGCAAATACCAATAAGGCAATAAATACTCACAAATAAATATTTGTTGAGTATTTACAAATACTCCATAAATACAGAGCGAATTAGGACGATTCTCCCATCCGGACTTCACACGTAATAATTTCTCCATAAAATGAATATTTGTCCAAATATGTCCATGCATAGAGATAAATAATTAAATTTTTGTCTTGATTTTTGTTTTTTAGACTAAAATTTTATAATTTTTTTCTTGATTTATATTTCATTCATATAGGTGAAATCCTTTGAAAAAAAAAAAAAAGATTAGAAGGTTGTTGTAAATAAAATTTCTTTAAAAATAAGTTATATAAATTATAGATTATTTGAGAAAAGAGTAAATAGTGAGATGTATAAAAAATATCTAATCAATTAAATTTGCATTTCATTTGTTTAATTCAATGAAGATAAAACTCAACATCACTGAGATTTACCCTATAAGGAATGCGACTCCAAATAGAGCTTATTTTAAATATTTAAAATAAAAAAATTAATATAACCTTATTTTCTTCAATTAAAAATGTATCTACTTCATTTGCTACAATAATAAATAGATTAACAATTGCATCAAATTAGACGGTAAAAATCATGAAAATTGTTTACAAAAGCAACTCATATTACAAAGCGGTTAAAAACCTACAATTAAAAATATATATTTATTTTATATTATCTCTTATGAGAAAAGTATTAATACTTTATTTTATATTATCTCTTATGAAAAATTATTCATTTTTTTATAACTATATTATTAATTCATATAAAATTAAGAGTTATGGAATTGTATTAGCTAAATAATAAATATTTAAAATTAAATAATTAATAACAATAATTTTGAGATAGAGTGATAATTCTATCTCATTTATTTATTTTATATCAAGAGGTATATCCAAAAGTAAGGCTTAAGAATATTTTTAAAATTATTTTAATAGTTAGGTATTGAATAAACAAATGTCAAATTTGACAAGTTAGAAATTTTTGTTGGCATTATCGCTGATTGGCTTTCCAGTGTAAACGATTCATATTTCTACGATCATCCACTGAAGATGAAATATTGAAGAAATAGGGAAGAAGACATCAATAATCTCACATATGGTGATGGTGTCAATGCATAACCTTTTTATTTATTTATTTTTTTTACTTTAGTTCTTTTAATAGTTATAGAACATATATGAACATCTTCAAACTTAATTATGCTTTTACAACTGTCAAAATATTCATGGCTAATGTCTCCTTGAATTTCAGCAGACGTTAGAAAAAGTGTATTAGGTTCCTTTCGAGAAAGAGGAAACCTAAATAAAACAAAAATTACCACTTGTTTAGTCTTCTCAATGGGAATTTACCTCAGCCCATAAGTCATAGTCTCGATTCCTATGTGGAGATCAAAAATAGAGAAAAATATTTTTTTTGTGAGTTGTTAGAGACTTTCTATAAATGAAATCAGTAGTAGAAATAATGAAATTTTTTTTTTTTTGCTAAAATCTTGATTACTTGCTAACCTCTTTAAGGGTGAAAAATGAAACGAACAAGAGGAGCAACTGTTAATAATTTCTGAGAGACATCATATCAAAAAATAGAAGAAATGGATAAAAAAGAATAGGAGAAAGAGGAGAGACATGTCAGTTGCATAATCTGACATTAGGAAAAGATCTAAACTTGTATGCTAAATAATAATCCAGCATTAGGAAAGGATTGAAGCAACAACGATAATGTTGTGCTGAGAGTCTATGGGAGGAGATATGAGACGGTGGAGTGAGGGCTAGGTAATTGCAACGTGAAGGTCGATATAAAACAATTGTCGGGAGTGAGCTGCTTGTTTCGTCTCTCATGAGGGGCTTTGTAAGAGAGAGGGAGTTTACAATAATTTTGAGTGCACGAATTATATCAATACGAGATAATAAGAAGGGTGCACATAAGAATCCCAAAGATTGAGATGGAATGCTTGGACAAGATTTTGTCATTTTTATTTTTATGGCTGAGATTTAATATAGGAAGAGTAGGGAATATGAATAGCGGAATATAAATGGGTATTAATCAATATGAAAGAATACTAAGAAATATTAGAGAATTTAAATGATTTCTTCATTTATTTAGGGGATACGAAGCGAGGAATACAAAGGGGTATTCAATTGAATGAAGACTAAGAATCGTTAAAGAATTTAAATGATTTATTCATTTATTTGATTAAATAAAAAATTTGTTCATATGAAAAATAATAATATTAGAGAATTTAAATGATTTCTTCATTTATTTAGGGGATATGAAGCGAGGAATACAAAGGGGTATTCAATTGAATGAAGACTAAGAGTCGTTAAAGAATTTAAATGATTTATTCATTTATTTGATTAAATAAAAAATTTGTTCATATGAAAAATAATAAATATTAATTATTTTTAAAATTATCAATTAATCATGATAAGATAATAAAATCAAAGGCTATGATTCTATTTGAATAATAAAAGTGAAAGGCTAAAATTTTGTTTGGGAGTAAAACTCAAATAGCTTTTATAATAGTATTATAGATGTAAAGATTCTTTAATAAAATAATTAATTAAAA